AAAATGCATATTACTGCGTACAAAATATTAGAAAACTGGATACTGTCTCAATGCATGCAAGTGTGCAACAAAGGCATTTGATCACACACAGTATGTTTATCAAAGTAGCAACAGCCAATCACGTTTGCCGACTGGCTCTGAAGGAAAATCAGCGTTCCTATGATTTGAGATGAAACGAGCAGATCTGAAAGCGAGTCTTTTTGCTACATGCACGGCCGCTTCCTGATTCATATAAAAGTCACCAGAGAAATTCAGCTTCGTTTAAAAGGACTTCTTAGAACCTGCCCTGGCTTGGCCATGCAGAAATTACTGACGTATGCAGGAGACTGAAGCAATACAGCAGCTGTTAAAAAAACACACTCAGGGTCCAGACACTCCAGTCAAGCTTGTTTAGCTTCGTAGCTAAGAGGTTAATGTCTATGTATCTGTCTGCATGTGTGTGTCTGTGGTTAACAGTGAAAGCCGTAACACTTTTGGCTAATTAGTCAACAATTATAAACAGTAACATACCACTGCAGTGATAATCTCGCATAAAAAAATAAAAACACAATGGTGAAAAAACGGTTAAACATGTCTGTAAAAGGATTACAGTTTCCAGGACACAGGACAGCTTAAAGTAACAGAACACTGGTCTTTTTGGCACTGTTCTGGCACAGGGTAAAAAAAAAAAAAAAAAAAAAAAAAAAAAAAAGTGAAATATTTAGATGCTGTAATTATCCCAAAAAGGTATCTCAACAAGCAAAGAAAAAACAAACAAACCAGAAAGCTTTAAAAGATGATTCCAGGACAATGAAAACACTGATAAGATGATTATCTTATTATCTTGAGATAACAAAGTTTATTTTGTAACCAAAACAGGTTAATAATCATCCTTCCTTATTTAAGAAGACACTGATTTCTAAAACCGAGCTTTTAACTTTCTGTTCTCTCCTGCAGCTCCCTTCCTTTAGAACAGGGGTCGGCAACCCGCAGCTCTTCAGCGCCTCCTTTGCAGCTCCCTGGAGCTTTTTCAAAAATGTATGAAAATTTATTTTTTGTTTGTTTTGGTATGGAGTGCAGGAGGCCAAACGAACATTCATTATGTTTTCCAATGCTGCTGCCATCAACACCTTTGTTTATAGATGTTTGAGATGGGCCTGTTTTTCAGTGTGGTCCTGTTTCTCTGACTGAGACTGGCTGGATGTGCTCTCTGTTTCCTGGATGGGGCCGCCTTTTACAGCTGCTTTTTGTGTCTCTGCTTCTGTCTCCTTGAACCCCAGTCGGCCTCGGCAGATGGCCGCTCGCACTGAGCCTGGTTCTGCTGGAGGTTTCTTCCTGTTAAAAGGGAGTTTTTCCTCTCCACTGTCGCTACAAGCATGCTTAGTGTGAGGGATTGTTGAAGAGTCAATGGGTCGATGCAATCAACTGGTTTTCCTTAGATAGAAAACTTTAAATCAAACTGACTGTATGATCTGGTGACCTGTAAACTACCTTGAGACGACATGTGTAGTGAATTGGCGATATGGAAATAAATTGAATTCAAATTGAAATTAAATAAATGTAAACATTTCTTTCAATGAATATTTGTGTAATAGCCATAGAGATCAGTGGTCATAGTCTGCAACACGTCTCAGGCAAACAAAGCGACAGGTGGGTCTCAGGCCATGGAACCCAAGGGGGAAGATACCTGATGAGAACAGGGGATTCAAAGAAGAATGGAGCGAATCATTTACTTAATTATCTATTTGGAAGGATTGTCCGCATTTTTGCTTTGTAATGAAAAGTTGTCATATAATAAAGAGTATTTCCAGGGAAGGCTAAATATGAAGCCGATCACAAAGTTGGGAGTGAGAGAAAGAATGCAGTTGCAGAACTTCTGGATAAATTAGAGGAGAGCAAAGATAGATTTAAGAAGTGGATTGCATCTCCAAACTCCACTACTGCTGCTAGTTTGGTTGCAAGCATAGAAAACCATTAACAGATCCAACAGGTAGCGCTCTTATGCAGGGATGGGAACTTTCTTAAATTTTTCCCCCAAATCCTCAAAGTAAAAATAACACCAAGGAACGATGGTGACGGAGGATGTGGGAGTTCGGGGTTAGAGAGCTCTGCTCTGATGGATGTCAGTTCCTGATTGGTTCCTCATGACTCAATCAACTCCTCCCAGCAGAAACACGTCCACCACAGAAAGACTCCTTTATCGTGTTTCTATCATTTCATCAACGCAAGAAAAGCTAAACCGCGCGGTGAAAGGCGGTGAGAGCGTTCACTGCTTCTTCCTCACCTCATGCTGCTATGTGACATTTGCTCCAGGATAAACATTTAATCATGAATGATTATTATATATTTAAGTCCATGTAGTCCTTTTTTATAGCGGGCTAATATCCTTAGAGCCTGTGTTGACATACGAGGCTTATAGAAGACTTTTACATTTTTGTGGCTCCAGGCAGATTTATTTTTTTTAGTCCAATATGGCTCTTAAGAGCAGTTTGGGTTTCCGACCCCTGCTATAGAAGGTACCACACTGCAAAAAATCGAAATCTAGATAAGTCATCTTTTCTTCAAAATAAGGGCTTTTGTTCTTTTATTGAGGAGGTAAAAGAGACGTTTTGCCAATGGAACAAGACAATTTACACTTAAAATAAGAAAACACAATTGCATTGTCTTATTTCAAGTGCATATTATCTAATTATCTTCTTTTAAGAGTAAAAATATTCATTCCATTGGCAAATCCTCTTACTTACCTACTAAAATTTAGGGTAAATACACTTAATTTAAGATATCTTTACTTATTTCTAGGTCGTTTTTGCAGTGCAGTCCTTCCGTACTTTTCTGTATCCTTTTGCTCCTTTCAAATACATGTCAGGATTAGACTGATATAAACTGAATTCGGATCTGTTTTGTTTTTCTGTTTTCTGGTTCTGCTCTATAGAGATGATCTACACTGATATTTGTGGTAATGTTACTGAACCTGTTATCTTGAGATAATAGAGACAGTTTTTAGTTTCAGGAGACGTCTTTACATTTCATCAATTTCAAACAAAAAACACTGAAAAATTACTGAATAATGATTTCATGAATACAAATGTAGATCAGTATCTCAAGCAGTGAAAAAAGAAACATTACATGACTCCAAATTGTTCAACATAAATAACTTTTCCATTATTCAAAATGAGAAATAATCATTTTTAAATACACTTCATTGATAGTCAATCATCTACTCTGAAATTAAATAGATTTATAAGAATCTTCCCATCATTGTAATTTTACAGATAAAACCATAAAACAGCATGGTTTCCAGCGTGGATCGTTCAAGACCTCTTTGAGTCTTACACTCTTTTTAATGTGATTTCACCTAATCAAATGCTCAGACATATGAGTTCATGAAATGCATAAATATTTTATAGTGTATAAATAAATGCACTATAAAATAATCGACTAACTGAGAAGAACAAGGAGGACAGAGGGAAAATGTTACGGTGCCCCCATTTGTGCTTTCTTCATATATATGCAGCTGCCTAAATTAACCAATGAGGTTGGAGGCATTTTAAAGATCCTTAAATACTTTTTAACCCAGTTGATAATATTCTGTTCTATAAAGTGAGTAAAAATAAAACTGAACAGAAAGCAATACTGTGAGAAAACATTTTAAAATTTGTTCAGGAGCCTAAGTTGAACCAAATCTTGGCAGCTTATGTGGAAATCATTAATTTCTGATTAATTAAAGCAGTTATGTGGCATAAAAAATACTTCAAAACAAGAAGAAAAAAAAAAGCAACCGGTAGGACAAGAAGTTGTTCTAAAAACCAGTAGAGGCCAAAGTTAGCAATTAAACCTAAATTGAAACGGCTATTTTCATTAAAAACTGGTGACTCACTTATGATGTTTTACGGTCAATCATCTTGTGTGGGATGGTTATTAATGATATATTTAGTAATGATTACAATACTCACTACTGGTTTAAACTAAAGTGTTAACACGGTTTTGCAAAACTGGGTGACCAGCTGAGGAGGTTGGTGACATCATTTTGATATACTGTGCATCTAGAACATCGATGCTATAAAGGAAAAGTCCGGCCAGCGAGGAATAATCAAAGGATCATTATTTAGACCTAAAACTAATACGTTCACAGAGATTTGATGAATTTAAGTGTTAATTAATAAGATTATAAAAGCAATAATTTAAGAGTCTGGGAGCGGCCATTTTTGCCCAAATATAGTAGCCCCTCCCTCCTGCCATCTTCCGGCAGTGACGTCACGGGGCGGTAAGCCTAGCGCCATTCTCCCCGCTTTACAAGCTAAATCAATGGGAACTACTAGACACATCTGCAATCAACAACAATTATTGAAGATTTCCAGAGGACTTCACCATTGAAATTCACCACAGCTATAGTGAAACTGACAATGCCCACGTGCATGGCAGCTGGATGCTGGAATACATCGGGGAAAAGTGAAAAAAAGAGTTATTCCACCTTTCTGATTCCTGATCCTCCACGGACGGGTTGGTCGTTGGATCGCCAACTTGAAGAGGGAGGATTTGCCATCGAACTTCTGGCCAGAGAAAAAACCCGTAATATGTAGCCAACATTTGGAAGAAGAATGTTTTCAAGATGACTTGGATAATAGCGCGTTGTGACAAACACCAGATACAGCACTGGGACTTGATCAACAGCCGATACCGCACCGTGACGTCACTAACCAGTAGGTGGCGGTAGTGTTCTTTGACAAACATGGAAAATTACTCTGAATTAAAAACACTTATCATGTATTGAACAGTCTGTAATAATTTCATATTTAAAGTAGTTTCAGAAGTTGAATTCTGAATACGACCGGACTTCTCCTTTAAATAGTGCATTATACGTTTTATTGGCTTTTGTTTGTGTGTATCCTTGTGAATAAAATCCAAGCTATATTTTTTTTGTTTGTTACTATAGTTAAAACCTGTTTTTTGCAAGTCTGCATGTCTGTGCACCTGTCACCTACTGTCAGACTATAAACCATAAAAAAAGAGCACAAAGAAGATAAATAGCACCTAGAGGTTCGTCAGCAGCTGCTGCTAATGTTGACAGATGCTACAGGTATTATGGGTGCATCACTGCAACACAAGACATACTGTAAATGTTTCAAACCCTTTGTGATCCGTATGAGATGAGGCTGACCAGGTGTCGACATGCTGACTCCTCAAAAACGAGCATTTTCACGATGCTCGAGATAGAAAGAATAATTAGATACAGGAACAATTGAACAGTACAAGGTCATGAACATACGGAAAAATAAGTCATGCAGGACACATTTATAAGGATGCTGTACATAAAACAGGGTTCCATTGTTCCAACTCTACCAGAGTTTAAAAGGACCTGTCAGTCCTTTTAAACTCCTTTCTCTAAATACCAAGATTTATAATGAATTTATGTCTATATGATGTATTCATAAAGCGGCTTTAAATGCAGAACAAGAAAAAAGGCAGAGATGCGATGAAATAATGAAGAAATTAATAAAATAGGGAGGAAAGAAAAGAAAGAAAGAAAGAAACTGATGGTCCAAAACAGGCAGGGTAACTTTTAGATAAACAATTGAAAGTATAAAAACCAGAATAACATTTATAAAGTTCCAGACCGCGTATGACCCTGACAAAAATCTGAGAGACAAATTTAAAAAATGTAATTTTTGTACTTTCCAGTATAAAAAAACAAACAAACAGAAAAACAAATTTGAAACTTTCATAAATAGACTAGTCTTACATTCAAAAAAATACCTTGATGGTAGATAACAGTTTGTTTCCTAATGTCTAATAATATTAATAGTAACAACAAAAAATAATCTCTGAATTTCATAAAACTAAGACTGCTCTTCTCATTCCACAAAATAAAACTAAGTTCTGGTTAGAAGTGAAACACTCAGACCGAGTGGCCACATGACCAACACAGGAAGTGTCATGGTTAATAATAAAGATTAAATTTGCACCAACTGTGGTTCAAAATGCAGAAAACATGTGAAATCATCAGTTCATCCATTCTGCTTTCCTGCTGTGGAGGCAAAGCCAAGACCGAGATGATGGCACGAGTTGTTTGGCAGCATGTCTCCTTTGATAAAACCTTTCTTTTGTCTTTGAAACAAATTAAAGTGCAAGGTGTGTTTTTTCCCCCTCCGTTTTGGTCACACCTTTCCACAGAAAAAATGTCTTCCGGATAGAACTAGGATACACAGATTTGCATTCACCCGAATTCGAAGCGGAGCTGAAAGAAACGAGACAGACACACATTTTCTCCGTTAAATACTCCGGCCTGCTCTGTGCCGACGGCAGAAGCGCAGCTGCTGTCTGCCGCGAGGTTGACCCATAAGACTCTTTGTCAAAGGAAGCGTCAGGCAGTGGTGTCGCCGTTAAGAGATGAAGTGGCACAGGGGGTGGTGGTTTGTACTGTAGCTAGGCTTGGGCCGGGCCTGGCCAGAAGGTTCCAAACAGGACGTAGACAGCAAAGGGCCTGGCACATCTTTGGTCCCATAAAGCACTTGGTTTATGTCAAGCTGACTCCTTGCACTCCGACGAGGGGAAAAGGGAAAGGGTAACGCCATCAGGAACCCGGTTGCTAAGCTACAACTGGAGAATTGTACGGCACAGGCAGAAACATCTTCAAGCCATGCAGTTAAGATCGTCCAGAGCAACCGGCAGCGAGAGTTTCAAGGAAGTTTAAAAACGTGTCAGGAGACGGGAGGCGAGACTTTGTACGGGAGCGCAGCACAGCACAAAAAAAAGCTCTTAGAGGAAGGAAATAGCTGCTGTTGGCTTTTCTTAATAAAGTTCAGGCTGTGGCATGCTCTCTGAAACACCTGCAACCTGACGAGGAGCTCTGGTGTCTGGGTGGGAGGGTTAAACACTGGGGGTGGGGTTAAAGTCAGACAAAAAGGAGGCTGACTCTAAGAACAGCTTAAACAGAACTCCTCCCCCGTCTCCTAAAACAGGAGAGACGGACTCGGCCTTAAGGCATTGCAGAGCCCTTGGAAAATTGGCACATGCATGGAGAGTGCAGAAATGTGTGCATATGTGTTCTACGTCTACATGTACAGGTTAGGCATGAATTCAAAAATGAGGGAAGAGGAAACTCGACTTGTACAATCAGATCAGAACAGGAAACTTTTTTCTCTCTGCTGAAGCCAAGGCGAGATTCTGGCTTCCAACCTACAGAGACGTCAGCTTTCAGAAACAATTCTGACCATACGTTCTATTCAAGGAGGATTTTATGAAAACACAACTCATTAAAAAGTCTGTACTGACTGTACTTATGGCACCTTTACCTTAAAAATATAGATGAGGGGAAGATTTAAGAAACCTCCCAAAAAAGGCTGAAAATCAACAAAAATGAAAGAAAAAGGACACAGTGAGGTCAGAAAGACCGCAGAGCTTTTTGAGATTTCCATTTTGCTTTAAGGAGCTCGTCAGATGTTTGTGAGCGTGGTGGAGGTGAAGAGGCGCACAGTGAGCATGCCTGGGATGTCGTTGTCCTGGCGACTGCCCTTGTCTCGGAGGTGAAGCGTGTGTTGCTCTTGCCGCTCGTTGGGCTCGCTGAACAGGACCACCTGACCCAGGAAGGTGTCCATGATCATGTTCTTGTTGTAGATCTAAGGGCCGCTCGTGCAAAGCGCACGTCCACGAGCAAGCGTGGGAAATGAAGGAGAAGAGAAGAAGAGAAAAGAGAGGGAATGAGCACAGAAGATCTGATGGAGGGAACGGCTGGGAAGGAAACGTAAAGGTGTGAGGGTTTAGGTACCAGATCTGCTCGAGGCCATGCCCCTTCTTATGACGCCATCATATGGCAACTCCACTCAGACAAACTGTATTGCACCCGTTTCTTAAGAATCAAATCTGTTTTGGACTCACAACTTATTATTACCTTCTATATTTGCTATCATTTTACACAGGGTTCCTACAGCATAAGGCGAGTTAAATTCAAGACTTTTTAATGCCACTTGAAATAAAAATTTAAGACCAAATTCACAAGAAACACCAGAAAAACCTGCTTGCAACAACTTAACCCAAAGGTTTATTTTAACATAAACCACTGCACTAATGTTTCAAATTTTGAAAAGCTTCCCATACAGGAAGAAAGCTAAAAACACACAAATGACAGATATATTTGAACAATTATTTAACTTAAATTATTTAACTTTAAAGCCACAACAAACTTTGTTTTAGCAAAGTTTGTTGTGGCTTTAAAGCTATACTATGCAACCGGTGTTGATTTTCCAGCGAGGCTCCCCCCAGAGGGCGAAAGTAAAACTGCACTGTCGTAAATATGCTCAGCTGTTCTCCTGGTTTCTCCGTCAAGCCAGGCTAGGTTGTTTTGAGCTTAACAGACAGGCGAACGCAACGAATCACAATGTCTACTGCGGTAAGTGACTATTTTGTTCCAATTTTCGAGTTTTACAATTTAGCATGTTTTCATACATTATTTGTTATGCATGTGTCTAAATAACAAAGATTGTAGTTAGCCTAGTTGGAGTTTGCTGCTCCCACATGGGCTTTCGCTGTTTTCTCGCTGGTTCCGCCATGATAACTGCACAAATATCGCCACTGCGCTAGCAACGAGCATACCTTTCACTGGGGGCGTGTAGCAGTTCTCGCCGTAAAGCAAGACAGACTCTCGCGATGCACGAGACTTCTGAGCCTGTGGGTGCGGGCCGAGGGCTCCTGCAATTGCAAGTGCGGTATTTCCCCCACAGACCACCAGGGTGGCCGAGAAAACCTTTGTTTGACCTGAAATGACTCATTAAAGGAATAGTACACCCAAAACATGATTAGCCTTAATTTTCTACTCACCCCCATGCTGAACAACACTCTGGAGTACTTTTTTGATATCTCAAATGCATCTGGAGATCTGGGAGGCTTCTTGCTGTCTGCTGACATTCAAATAATGGAGGTCTATGGCGCCAGAGGCAGAAAGGTCCATAAAAGTCCACAAAAAACGCGTCAATATTCCTCCATACTGCTCGGCCAATGTATTCCAAGTGTCCTGAGTGGGTAGCATCCATAATTTACTCGAAACAAAGTCATTTAGAATGTTTTTAGAGCATAAACAGTAGTGTATAGGATTTCCTGAAAGCGCGCACCTGCGCGTTCACGATACTACGGAAGCCGGCAGACCAAACCAGATGAAAGTGCGCATTCAGCGTCTGCTCTGCCGATAATGCAAGCGTAGAAGAAGAAATGTGCTGTTTACCTGTGCAAAGAAAGAAACAACGAAAGAAAAATGTCTGAGGACTTCAATGTTGAGGAAGAGCATGAGTTCTTTGCCGAGCTGAATGCGCACTTTCGTCTGGGTTGGTCTGCCGCGGTTTCCGTGGCGTCGTGAACGCGCTTTCAGGAAATCCTATACACTACTGTTTATGCTCTAAAAACATTCTAAATGGCTTCGTTTTCGAGTAAATTCTGGACGCTACCCACTCAGGACACTTGGAATACATTGGACGAGCAGTATGGAGGAATATTGACACGTTTTTTGTGGACTTTTATGGACCTTTGTGCCTCGGGCGCCATAGACCTCCATTATTTGAATGTCAGCAGACAGCATGAAGCCTCCCAGATCTCCAGATGCATTTGAGATATCAAAAAAGTACTCCAGAGTGTTGTTCAGCCTGGGGGTGAGTAGAAAATGAAGGCTAATCATGTTTTGGGTGTACTATTCCTTTAATTAACTGAATAATGTTGCATAGTATGCCTTTAAAACAATCAGTTTTAAAGCCCCAACATAACCAGTGCTAAGTCTTATTTGTAGCTATTTTTCTTTGTATCATTTTCTTAGTATGTTTGATTTGGTGATAAGTGGAGGCGTTGCAGAGACAAGGGTGGAACTAAACTGAGAAATACCGGCTGTTTCTCGGTAACTCCATTTTGACGCTTTGCGTTTCGTGCTTCGCATGTGCGACTCCACTGCCTTAATTCCCATCGTTCTTGAATGACTTCTTGCACTAAATCCACTGAGCCTCATGTATGTTCCCTGGTTTTAGCCATGGAGGAAACTCTTGGCTGGAGCCAATTTTGGTTACATTTACACTTGCTCATATTTTCCAGACAAAAGTTAATGGCGCATCTCCCAAATGTCCCGGCCGCAACAACGCTTTATTGGTTCCACTATCGGGACGGAACCAATAATGGCGAGCCGTTATTTTTTTAATAATAAAAAAAAAAGGTAAATTTTAATGTTTTATTTAGATTACAAAAATAAAAATAATCCTATTTATGATGTTTTAAAAATTAAGACCTACGAAAGACTGATTTAAGACATTTTAATACCAATTAAGGCCTTAGTTTTATTTTGAAGAATTCAATGCCTTTTAAGACTTTTTAAGGACCCGTGGGAACCCTGTCACATTTCATGAAGAAAACAATCATGTAGAAAATACTGCCCTCTAAGACTGAGCTTTGCCATTTACCAAAGAGACAAAAAAGACAAAAAAACTAAAATAATATGACTTTCGTGGAGTTTTTGGACAAATAAAACAACAGTTATTAGAAAACGAATGTTGTTGTTGACACAAAGATAAAGTAGTGTAGCTTAATATGGCTAACTGACCGAGCCACAGCGCTATCCAGCTCTCCCCATTTATATCATGGTCTAACACTTTGACCATGATATAAATGCCATCATCCCTTTTTCATTTTTTTTATTGTTTTTACGGCACCAGTGGCTGGTTTTTACGACAGTAGGCTGACAGGAAAAGAGGTATTAGGGAGGGGGAGAGACATGCGGCAAAGGACCACAGGCCGGATCGAACCCGGCCGCATCAAAGACTGGTGGTGGTGCACTAACCACTGCGCCACCTGCACACCCATCCCTTTTAAATAAAAATGTCATTAAATGTTTATAACAGATAAGATCAAGTGTTTAGCCCAATGTTTTTTCAGCAATAGCAGAAGCAATCTTTTTGGGCTTGTCCTAAAACTTTACTAAATAAGTAATACGATATTGAGCCTGTAGCTGCCACAGACAACTGGACCAGCCAAGCTGATCCTCAGCAGGATTCTTATAAACTGACCCGCTGATGCAGGCCTAAGTTGGTGCAGCAGCTCACCTCAATGTGGATGGCTTCCTTGGGCTTTTTGCGGTAAAAAAGGCCTTTGATGTCAAAGTTTGGGCAACGTGTGTCTTTTTGAACTGGTGAACGAACTCGCTCTCCTTCACAGGTGATTATCACATAAGAATCCACAACTGCAAGGAAAAAAAATCAGAAAAAATACACACATGATCTCGGTTATTTGCATCAGTTGCTAACAACAGTTCTTCTAGGGCAGGGGTGACCAATTGAAAATCAGTCAAGTCTGAATAAAGAAAATCATCAACCAGTAAAGGTATTTTTAATTATAATCCGATACTTTAATCCAAATTTAACACTGAAATAAAATTAGGTTTTTATGCCTCAATGTTATACATTGACATTTTAAATGAAAAAAATAAAATAATATATACATAATATTTTCCATTTTTTCTAGTTCTCTACTTAAAAGTGTTTTTTTAAGTAGAAAACAAGAATCGTTCAGGTTGGTATATAGATATTTTCCTGATTCACATATTTTATAAAACACGTGCTTCGCATGTGCGACTCCACTGCCTTAATTCCCATCGTTCTGAGCTTGAATGACTTCTTGCACTAAATCCACTGAGCCTCATGTATGTTCCCTGGTTTTAGCCATGGAGAAAACTCTTGGCTGGAGACAATTTTGGTTACATTTACACTTGCTCATATTTTCCAGACAAAAAGTTAATGGTGCATCTCCCAAATGTCACGGCTGCAACAACGCTTTATTGGTTGCGCTATCAGGACGGAACCAAAAATGGCGAGCCGTTATTTTTTTTTTTAAATAAAAAAATAAATTGTCAATTTTAACGTTTTATTTAGATTACAAAAATAAATCGTAATAAAAATAATCCCATTTACGATGTTTTAAAAATTAAGACCTACGAAAGACTGATTTAAGAGATTTTAATACCAATTAAGGCCTTAGTTTTATTTTGAAGAATTCAATGCCTTTTAAGGACCCGCGGGAACCCTGGTTGTGTCACGTGACCAAATTAGCTAATTTCATTGGCTAGAAGCTGCTCGACTGTATCGAGTGTAATTTGCTTCGGCTTGAGTTCACCAAAAGGTTGACACATTCAGGGCTGAAGTTTTTGCGGGCAAATTTCTTGAGGCTGAACTTTTTGCCGTTGAATTTTTTTCCAGCTGAATTTTTTTTGCAGGAATTTTTAAGACATTTTAATACTAATTAAGGCCTTAGTTTTATTTTGAAGAATTCAATGCCTTTTAAGACTTTTTAAGGAACCGGCGGGGACCCTGAATAACAAGAAACACCAACTTGCCCGAATATATTAAGAAAAATAATAAAAGTGCTTCTAGAAGAAATTAATGAAAAACACTCTGAGAGTGAAAGAACATAACCTTATAATTGTTAACTAGGCTTATTAACTAAAGTCCTGTTCTTTTAGTTGATCCTATACATTTTTCTTGCATGTTCTTTTACCTTTCTCTAACCCAGAATGTACAGATTAGACAAGATCAGAACATGTAGCCAGGGGGCGCTGTGGTACCTTTTATTTCATTCTAAACTCTTGTGTAGTTGACCGAAGCAATGAATGTCTGATTTTATTTATTTGTTCTTTACAATGCATAAACAGGTGGATAAAAAGCAAATGGCTCAGACTGCACTGCTGTTCAGCAGAAGTCTTACCTCCATTGGTGTCTTGTCCCTGCAGTCCCTCAGCACTCACTACATGAACCTGAGTGACCAGCTGAGGGTAGCCACACATCCCTGTCCAACAAGTCTGAGGAGGCTCATCCAGAGTCAGCTCTCTGCAGAGGGAGGAAAGTATAAACCGTTTAGTTTTACATCCTGTAACCAGTTTAGGCTCCAACAGAACAACAGATTCTGTTTCTGTTCTTATTGGACGTATAAACAGGAGTTCTTAAGGATACAAGGCTTGGATAGTTTGTGTAATTTGCTACGAAGAACATTAGACCATTAAAATCTCATAAGGTAATTAAAGAAACATCATTTTAGAATCTCTGAGCATCTTAGTCCAGTTTTTAGCCTTTATGTTTTAGTGCTTTAGTTTTTTTTTAAGTATTTATGTTTTATTTATACTTATCCCAAACATTCTTACATTAACTTGCAGCAGTAAATAACCTCATACATCTGGAAAAGGTGTTTGCATGCAAAATTATTAAGCTTTCCGTTTTAGTTTAGTCAAAGGTATAATTTTATTCGTGATGATCATAAAAGTAAGAAACCTAAAGGAGAAATAACAAAAAATTCTTCTCACTTTTCACCTGCAAAGGCCGTTTCATTCCTTATAAAACATCAAAGCTCTCATTTTGTTAAGTCTTTATTAAAGTTTCTCTTGTTTCTAACCTAGAACTAAAGAGATAAAGTACGTTGGTGGTGTGAGTAGCCTGTGTTTACTTCCTGGTCCCTGAACCAATCGTATGAGCGTTGTCAAAACAGAATGCAGCATTTTGAATCTTATGTTGGCTAAAGAGAATTAGCCTAAAAACATGGAAGCCAAAGAGAGAAGTGGGCCAGAAACAATCACGACATCCTTCAAAGCTGCAAACAAAAACTTACTGTACTGTTACATTAGTACAACGTACTAGGTTGATTGATTGATTTTTATCTTTGATTTTACTGGCACTGTGTAGCACTTTGAGATTTTTGCTAATGAAAAGTGCGGTACAAATTGGATTTATTATTATTATTATTATTAGGTGTTGCCTATTTTGTGTGTTTTTGCAAATTGAAACCCTGCTACAATTACTTAATAATTACAGGGATATACAGTCAGAAATGTAATATATTATACATAACTATGTTATTTATCATCATCTACGAGCTCAGCCTCTTAACCTTAATATTTGCGTTGCCTTAGAATTCGTTATTTATAATTACATAGGAGCGGGTCTCGCAGCCATGGAGGCAGACATCTTTGCGCTACGGCAGCGCAGAGCCAACAAACTAGCGATTGCGAGATCGCCCATTACGCTCGAAAGTAACTATGGCAAGTTGAGAGAGATGAACTGAGACGGTACTGAACGCACAGACTAATGAAATACTATCTGTAAAATTATCTATGTAAACAAACCTCATCACTTGAGAAGGTTGGTGATGCATCGTGGAAGACATTTCGTCCCGTAACGCTCGCCGTACTGTTGGGGGGGAGAAGCGGTGGGGGGGAGATGTTCATGTTGCTGCAGTCTGACCGCTAGATGTCGCTAAAAGTTACACACTGTAGCTTTAAATGATCCTCAGAATAACATATTTAAAGTCATATCTGTTCCAATTGTTGCAATTCGGAATTCTCCCGAGTGAAACGCAGGTTGTTGTTTTTTTTACATTGAGCCCTTGATTTTACATTATTACATCATGTTCTACTCAACCATTCGAGTTTTGTGTCATTTGGAGCCGTTCTGAAGATATTCCAAGTAACGTCTTCCTATGGCCAACGATTTGAAGGCACAAACTAAACTGTTCATAATTTATCATTTACGGTACGCCATCATAACATGTTGGCGAATCACTGTCCCCCAGACATCTGCGGTTAGATTTTTTATATTTATATCTTTTAAAAACGAAGCGGCACGTGTAAGGCATCTTGATTGAAGGTGTGACTTAGTGACAGAAGCGAGGCTGACAACAGGCCTTCTGACCACCATCAGTTCTTCCCAAAGAATACAGCGACTAATGCTACATTCAGACAGTAAGCAGCAGAGGCAGAAAAAATGTGCCTGCTGCTTAATTTCTGATGCTTGTACAAATTTAGTTCTGAAGCGCGGCTGAAGCATCTTTGCTGGTCTAGCTGCGTGGTCGAAAAGTGGCTCTGATGCACGTTGGGCGGAGCTACCCTATCCTTTCTTTGCCTGGAACAATTGCAGCTATATTTGCTGTGATCAGTGGGTAAAAAGTAGTTTGAATCTATGTTGAAGTGAGAAAGTCCATCTGAAAACCTAATCTGTGCAGTCAGTTCATCCAGATTACCATCCTGCCTTCAAATATTATTTTGCTGTAGGAGCCACTCAAACCCCCGTACACTGGCGATGCGCTGTCAACGGCAGCCTCTGGTCTCTTCTTTGCGGTTTTCCACTACTGTTTGCGGCGGCTGGAAGGCGGTTTTCACGTATGTAATCCAAACTGCAGGCACCAGAATAATAAAATCGTATATATTTTTCCAGCAGTTTTCAAGATTTGAAGTTAATTTAGGCATTAAACTGTTTCAGAGGAGTGATCATAGCGCTCTGCATCAGCAGTGCTGTGTCTGTCTCCCTGGCAGCTCCTAGATCAGCTTCTCTGATTGGTTGATGAAGGTGCTGCTTCTGAGGCGTGTTGCGCATGTCAGATGCTCCTGCTTCTCAAAAATCGCTGTAGGACCTTTTGCTGCGCCTTGAAGCGCAGCAACCATTGACTTTGCATGTGAACTAGCTGCTTCTGCTGCCTCTGCTGCTCGTGGTCTGAATGTAGCATTAAGACTGGTTTATACTCAGAAACCAGGTTGTCTGCATGTGCGTTGGCAGTGGATGCAAATATACCCCCCACCCCCCCACCCCCCACCCTCACTCCTTCCGCAGACACTCTGCTGTGCCTCTCTAAAAGTATAGGTGAGCGCAGACAGTGCTGCAGACAGGAGGCCTCTGATTGGTCAAATGCGTATTTCCTATTTGGTACTGTTAAAGAAAAATGATTATTTTTAGTTTTTAATATAGTTAATCTTATGGCATGTGTAAAAGGTATGTTGAGCACTCTCATTTTGAACATATTTCTTAATTTTGAACAAGTTTGTGAAGATAACCTTTCCTTGAACCAAATTACTGAATTTAAGTTTGTTCTTGAGAATTCCATAGCTATCTGTGGAATCTTGTCTTGTGTTTTATGACCCCAGATGTTTGCCGTAAATTAGGGGAAGCTCTAAGTTTTTCTGAGTGTCAGAGATAGCTCCTGGTTGGAGGAGCAAAAGCCAGCCTTATCTGAATAAATTAAATAAAAGAGGATAAAGCTTTCTACATAGAAGTAACAAATCAGATTTGCTCTTGCAACTCTCCAAAGATGTCTTTGTACGTCTTTGCTTTCTTTCCTTCTCTCCATTTATGTCTGGTAATTGAATGTGTGTCTGCGTTGTTCTGCAGTTTCTGGTGTAAGTTTATGCATTGTCTTATATTGGATTAAACTCTGTAATTCTGTGACGTCAACACGCATTGCTGGTTTTCCTTGGGGCCACACGCAGCTCGCCGAGAGGACCTGGGATAAAAAAGGAAGAGAGAAAGCCAACCTCTTTCCAAAGTTAACTATTTTAGAATATTTTCTTCCTTAACAGTACCTTACCGGCTTGTTTTGTACACGTGAAGATGAAGAGTGAGGGGCGCAAGAACGCTGGGACCCTTTTTCCACCTGGTTCCCCCCCTCACGCCCCTCCATTGTCGCACAAACTTGCCCCCACTTCCTCACCGCCTCGGCCGTATCTAGACCCACAGCTAGTTCCTGATTGGCCCTCTGGCGTTGTGGTGTGGAATAACATAGCACAGACCAAGTTTCAATATTGAGCACAAATCAAAAATATCTGCAGCAGGCTCACTGCGACACACTGATGTGCGAGGATAACCAGCCCTTAAGAGCTGAGGTTTGAACTTGCAACCCTCTGGATTTATGTGTAAGTAAGCATATTCGATTAGTGGCCTCTGGCTCCTGCTTTTTCTCTCAAATCTTAACAAAACTGCAAGGGTGTGACTAGTTTTATACCCCATTTTGGCTTGAATATGAAAGTGAGATTGAATTGACAATAGAACCAGTAAATACCAGACATTTTTTTTGAATATCTTCAAGACAGGATGTGATCATTTCTTTTTAGAAAGATTTATAGATCAGCCCATGATTCCATAATTACTTGCAGTCTGAAAGCACATCAGTGAAGACCCGCAGCAGAAATTCTCCCTGCTGCCCTGGGTCAAAGGTTGTGGGGATGATGACGTATCGACCTTCCTTAAGCTCCTTCCTGAGGAAGACGCAGCGGGAATTGATGTAGATGGAACCTGCTACTTTCTGCTGGGCTGTGTGCATACGGTACTTCCGATTGAGTTCAACCTGCAGGAGGAGAGGATTTTATTCAAATGGCGATTTCCAGTTCACCAGATCATCCAGTCAGATTGATTCAAAGTTTTATATCTAAGGAACCAGCTGATTGCATCGACTCATTCACTGGAAGGGAATCCCTCACACTAAGCATGCTTGTAGCGACAGTGGAGAGGAAAAACTCCCTGTTATCAGGAAGAAACCTCCAGCAGAACCAGGCTCAGTGTGAGCGGCCATCTGCTGAGGCCGACTGGGGTTCAAGGTGACAGAAGCAGACATACAGAAAGCAGCTGCAAAAGGCGGCCCTATCCAGGAAACACACAGCCAGGCAGACGAGCACCGAGCCAGCTCCCATGTCAGAGGATGAACAGAGCACATCCAGTCAGTCACAGTCAGAGAAACAGGACTACACTGGAAAACAGGCCGATTGCTAACATCTAGAAACAAAGGTGGTGATGGCAGCAGCACAGCTAATATTTGTCTCCAGGATTGAACTAACAAACTCTGGAGAGTGGGGTAATAGAGATTGAATCAAGCAGAAGGATGAAAAGGGGTCCCTATGTCCTCCAGCAGTCTAAGCCTTTAGCAGCATAACTATAGAGATAGCTCAGAGAAAGCTTTCAGTGTTTTTACCCGATGAATATCGAAGCCTATAGCAAGGTTCTCCCCTTTGCCTTCTTTGGGCGTGGCTCTCTTCTCTTTTTGCTGCAGGCAGATCAACACCTCATCCTCAACCTTCTTCACATCAAAGACATACTGGTGGGAGAAAAAGGAGACTCTGCTATTACCCTTCAGCACTGGTGTTGTTGATAACAGCATCTGTTAACAGAAGCCCATGGATCTACCTGAGGGTTTTGCAGGAAGGTGGTCTTGTGATTGATGCAGCCCCCGGATCGGTTTCGAAGAGGATCCTGGCGGTGGGTCCAGGTGCCCCTCATCACCTCTTCCTCCCAGGTCTTGTGGATGCTCAAATAGGATGTGTTGATGAGGCGGCAGAGGATCAGGTCTGTGAAGTACTGGCAGAAGTCGTCAAAGTTCATCCTGCAGAAGGACAGGCAAAGAGGAAAAGATAGACCAAAGGGAGCAGATGCCAGCTGGAGGAAAAAACAAAAGAGTTCTTAAATAGGTTCGAAATGAAAAGAAATCAGAGCAAAAAGGAACATTAACAGGTTACAAAGAGCTTTCCTCTATTTTTGCTTTTGTTTTACTACTTAAATGCTTTAGATTAACCATTTTTTTTTTTCATTTCAAAGACAAACTGAGTAAATACAAAAAGCAGTTTTTCAATACTCCTTTAAATGGTCTAAATAATAAAATAAACAATAATAAACATCTTTATTCAATAAATAGAAGAGATGATGTGTAGATTTAAAGATGGTCAAATGTGGTCATCTCTACCTAAAGATGGAATACTTTGAAATAATTAAGATTTAGTACTTAAATGAATAGACTTTGTATTTCTCCTTGGATTGACTAAACCAAGCAAATTTGTACCGTTTATAGAAATGTATACAGATGTGAAATGTTTGAACCATTGGAATCAATTTAAAGGAAAAGTCTGTTCATATTCAGAACTAAAACTTCTGAAAGTTTTTAAATATGAAATTATTCCATACTGTTCAATAAATAAGTGTTTTTAATTAAGAGTAATTTCCATCTGAATGTGTTTTACTGGAGGCATCCATGTTTGTCAAAGAACACTACTGCCACCTACTGGTTAGTGACGTCACGGTGCGGTATCGGCTGTTGATCAAGTCCCAGTGCTGTAACTGGTGTTTGTCACAACGCGCTATTATCCAAGTCATCTTGAAAACATTCTTCTTCCAAATGTTGGCTACATATTACGGGTTTTTTCACTGGCCAGAAATTCGATGGCAAATCCTCCCTCTTCAAGTTGGCGATCCGACGACCAACCCGTCCGTGGAGGATCAGGAATCAGAAAGGTGGAATAACTCTTTTTTTTTCCTTTCACCCGCTGTATTCAAACATCCAACTGCCATGCACGTGGGCATTGTCAGTTTCACTATAGCTCTGGTGAATTTCAATGGAGAAGTCCTCTGGAAATCTTCAATAATTGTTGTTGATTGCAGATGTGTCTAGTAGTTCCCATTGACTTAGCTTGTAAAGCGGGGAGAATAGCGCTAGGCTTACCGCACCGTGACGTCACTGCTGGAAGATGGCAGGAGGGAGGGGTTACTATATTTGGGCAAAAATGGCCGCTCCCGGAAGGACTCAGTGATCGCGATGAAAATGATATTAATGCTAAATTCATTAAATCACTGCGAACGTATTAGTTTTAGGTTTAAATAATGATCCATTGATTAATTCTTGTGGACCAACTGGACTTTTCCTTTAAATCTAAGTGAATAATCCTAACAGCACTGCATGATCCTACAGAAATAATCATATTGCAAGGGAAGGCAGATAAAGCAATAACTGTTAACCTGATGCTATTAAAAAACTTCTAAAATATTATTATATATATATTTTTTAGTGGTGATGGGGGGGGGGGGGGGGGGGGGGGGGGGTTCAGTTGTTATTTAGTGCATGACCCAATACAAAACCAACATAACACATACAAATAAACTGACTACTTTTAACTGTAGTAAAATTAGCAATAAAAGAAAAAAATCATAGTATTAACAAGCATAATTAGTGATCATATTAATGCGTAATATATGCTCAGTCAATGGATTAAGGGGTCTCACCAGAACTCGCCGTCATCCTGCACAGTGACACCCAGCTTCTCTCTCTCACTCTTGCTCACCTTGTTCCACTCCTCCGAACTGAAACCAACAAGAACACCACAGCTTAGATACAGTATTTGACCCGGTCGCTATCGGTAGGTTTGATAAAATTTTAGAGCTCAGTGCAACATCGGACATTAAAATATTTTGTTCTCTTTTTCTTGCAAACATTACAAAACTGGTCCAAATTCTAGAAGAAAGGCCATTGCTTCTTTGGATAATAATAATTTGCAAGAAATGGCTTTCAATATTCAGAACAATTACTCTTCTAGTACTTGTGCTACAGCTGCCAGCACTAGTATTACTACATCGAATACTATTCGTACTGCAGCCACATTTGCTACTATTAGAAACCTCACAGACAAAACAGAAGTTAAAGTGTTTGGACCAGAGTCTTTGAAAAAGAAGCTGATTAGTCAGTCACTTCATTTGGATGGGATTAAACTGATTTCAGAAAAAGCAAAACATTTTGGTGTTATTTTTCTATCAGGACCTGTCCTTTAAATCCCATTTGTTCTTTGATCTGCAGAATATAGTAAAAATTAGAAATCTCCTGTCCAGGGGTGATGCTGAGAAACTAGTCCATGCATTTGTTACTTCAAGGCTGGACTATTTTAATTCTTTACTATCAGGAAGTCCACAAACTGTAGTCAAAAGCCTTCAGCTGATCCAAAATTCAGCCAGAGTTCTGATAAAAATGAAAAACAGAGATCATATCTCTCCTATCCTGGCTTCTCTTCATTGGCTTCCTGTTAAATCCAGAATAGAATTTAAAATCCTCCTTCTCACATATAAAGCCTTAAATGGCCAAGCTCCATCTGATATCAGAGATCTGATTGTTCCTTATGTTCCTAACAGAGCACTTCGCTCTCAATCTGCAGGTTTACTAGTGGTTCCTAGAATTTCTAAAAGTAGAAGACTGGTAAGGCTAGGCTTAAAACTTTCCTTTTTGATAAAGCTTATAGTTAGATTGGCTCAGGTTATCCTGAGCTATCTCTATAGTTCTGCTGCTATAGGCTTAGACTGCTGGAGGACATAGGGACCCCTATTTCATCATTCTGCTTCATTCTATCTCTATTCTCCCACTCTGCAAAATCTGTTAGTTTAATCTCTAACGTAGCCTTTTTGGAAACACGGGAAGGAGCAATCGGCTAAGTGAGCTCAGTGCTTAAAAAAAAAAATCATTCATTCCTTTAGAGACAGCATGAAAAGTCAGCTGAGTACAAAACATAGAGAGGAAAACAAGAAGAAAAGAGACAAGAAGAGAGGGACACAACCTAGAACTAATAATGTATGTCTATTCTATTAACATTTCTCTATCTGGATAATGGGTCTGTTTATGTGTTGTCTTCTCTATTCAAAGGGCCCCCTGTCTGCCTTTGCCTAGGGCCCCAAATTTCCTAAACCCCCCCTTGACTCCAACAGGGGGTTGCAAAAATTTTGGTTGATTACTTTCTTTTTATATTACCCCCTGCGATTTTTCCCCCTAATTGAAATGTCTTTAAATCCGCATTAACATGAATCCAACAGACTGTAGTAAACAGATAAATGGAGGCAGAAGATGTCTTTCAGTCATCAATGCACACATTCAGCGACACACAGGAGCTCTTTCAAGCTGGGCACCGTTTCATTCACAACACCTGTCCCATCAACCAGGAATCAGAAATACTTCAATAATCCCAGGGAGAGATTACTTTAGTTACATTACTGCATCTGTAATAGAGTGACTATAGGACCATTTTTATATAACACAATTTAATACAATATATATAATCATGTTTTGGGGGCTCTTGGCTTGGAAAACATTGAAGACCCCTGCCTTAAAATAATAAAAGATAATAACCGTTAGGAATCCGGTCTGTGTGGGTTGTGTTTTTCCCCTCTCCACCACCAGGTGACGCCCTGTTCTCATTTGTCCTCCCACACACCTGCGGCTGGTTGGCTCATTATTGAGGACTTCTTAAGCGGTGGACTGCCCCTACTTCGACGCCAGAGTGTTTGCCAGTTTTGGTACTCTGCCAAGCTGAGTTTAGCTGAGTCTAACTGAGTTTTTGTTTCTCTGAGCCTAACCTGATTTTTGTCTTTGCCTTTCGGCAGGAAGTCATTCTGAATACTGGATGTTTGGCCTTCTCCCCCCGGAAGGATCGTTTGTGCTTCACACTGAGCAGGGGATTCATCACCACACGTCCCGTTCAAGTTCTCCAGGAAATCTAAGTGGCAGTCCGCCCATTGCTCCTCAGGAACCAACCAAACCAAGGACCTGTCCGCCCTCCAACAAGCCCCTCAATCTCTGGAAAAAGCCACATTGACTGGATTCAGGGAAGAAACCTTTCTACGCAATCATGAGTCCCATTTATCTGAGTTTTCAAGTCGTCGTTCAAAGTTCCCACGGACCCTGAACTAACCTCTGTGAACTTTCCTTCTCACTTCCAGTTCCGGTTCACCAGCTCTCTGAGTTTCTCCGAATCCAACCCTTTGAACTCCTCAATAAACCTGTTTTTTGTACGTGGGTCAGATCTCTTAGAACATCATGACAATAACATCCATGAAACTAATCAAACCCATATGAAAATGAAACAGCTTCTTCTGCCTTTATATAACTGAATGCATAAATGAATCAATATACTCTGGATCAATCTCAGATGGTAAAATAAACTTCTTTAGGTTCTATTAATCAAACCAGAACATTATTTTCTGCTTAATGTTCCCTCTTCATTGCAATCATAGGTGTTTTCTTGCAGGATGAGTTTTGTTGTTATGCCTCTTTGCTTATGATTCAACTCTACGCCTCATCAGCTGGCCAGCCTCCACTCAAAGCAACAGGTTTGTCCAAACCCTGGCTAAATAATTCAGTGACAGTGAGTGAATGAGATGATTCACAGTTCCTTAATGACGTCTATTTCTTTCACCTCCATTAATAATTCATATTCCATTATTTCAAGGCACTTTGTTTTTATAAATGGAGGACATGTATATCAGTGTTTTGTAGTCTTTTGGGGACCATAAATGGAGGAAGGAAGCAAAAAGTATGAAAAGAGCTGTCTGGGAAGGCTGAATTCTGTCCCTGTTTTTCACTGGGAGTCCCATTTGCCTGATTGCATTTCCATTTTTCATTGTCTAGATGACATTTCCCACACTGTTGCTCTCTTGTCTATGATGTGTGCATTATTCATGGACCGCTGTTTGTCCAGTCATTTGAGATTTGCTCATTCTTCTCACCCAGTCACCAAGAAATTAGCATGTCAAAGTCAGACTCAGAGGAACGGGTCACTTGAATTAAATTAGAAACAACTGGCCCACAACAAGGTCACGTATTCAAAGATGAATTCATTTTTTGTCCTTGTTTATCAAAGATAATTTCATTACATCGGTTATGATGGATGAACAGCTTCAAGAGGTTCAACAATAAATTAATTTCCACAGTGGATGTGAAGGCGGCAGTGCTGTGTTTACCTGTCGCTCCACGGGCCGCTCCATTCCTTCTCTCCCCAGGGGTTCCTCATGCGAATCATGTGCAGCTTTTCCGATTTGAAGAAGGCCAGCAGTCCGTGACCAAGTCGCACCTTCCGGACGTCTGTCACGGCGTAGGCGTGGCCTTTGACCAAACCACAGTCCAGCCGGGCTTCCATGTCCTCCACCGTTGTCGCCTAAATAAGCAACGGAAAGGTGTAAGCCCTTTGAAATGAGAGACATCTGTCATTTTCATCATAGGTACATTTAAAAAATGAGAGACATAAAAAAAAAAAAAAAAAAGGAAAATTCATTGTAGGATTTTTAAATAGTTTGTAAATTATGGTGGTAAATAGTGGTGTAAATAAGCTAACACCACTTACAATGGTAACTGAACATAGGAAAGCAATACTACTTAAAACCAATAGTACAACTGTAACCCGTGGCTTGCTCAGATTAGATTAAAAATTACATTGTTTCATCTAACAAAAATAGTTTTAACCAACTAGATTGGTTGTTTTTCCAACCAATCTATTCTTAGAATCTATCCAAACTTTATCCAACTGACAGAAACTGCCCTACAAACTCCCAGATCTTGACTGAATACTGAGGCTGTTTAAATACCTGTCAAGAGTTCAAGGGGAGCTGAATCAATTGGTCACATGGTTGGCGGAGTAGCGAGGCCTTGGACGTAATCTATTTAGGCTCCTCCCCCAAATAAAGCAAGCCTCGATACGCGCCTCGCGGAATTGCCCCCCTCCATTACTCGGCTCATCTCATAACATCACTACTTTTTGATTACCCAAAGAAACCATAAAAACAAAAAATGACCCTGAGGGAGGACTGCTGCTCCTGGATTTTTAAAGTAAGATGTCATGAACTGTTTGTATTTTTAAAGCATTTAAAGGATATTCAAATACTATCTTATGATAAATCGCATGTGATTTCAAACGGCTAGGTTCATTTGGTGCGTGATGTCGTTCGTAGCTCACCCTAATAGAGCAGCTGATCAGACCGTCTCTGTTGTGGACTTTGAGCACTCTTTCAAACAGCTGGTTACGAGCCACCTCATCTGTGGCCATCTGACCCTCCAGAAGGTCCACGGGTTCGGAAACACCGCCGGTAAAATCCACCAGTGCATCGGCTGTGTTTCCCCCATCCAGAGCCTCATAGCAGCCATAAACCCTGCAGGGAAAGAAGCAGATATCCTTTTTTTAATCTCACCTCATCTGAGATAATATATATACTGGTACTGATACTTACTTGGCGTAGGCCTTTTCTACCAGAGCGCTCCAGAACTCATTGCTGTCATTGGAGTGGCAGTAGACTAGCTGGTTGTCCACCGTAGGCAGCCGGTCGTCAATCACCACGTCCATCCATTCCCCAAAGCGCCAGAAGCGGAAGTGGAAAATCCCAGCGTACGAGTCTGGCTTTTCTGTATCCCACTCCTGCTCCTTCCAGTCCGGGATGACCTAAAACCAGACGGTGAAGGACAAGGTGACTCTAGTAAGTCTATGAATTATAAGAATGGGTTTGGCAACAAAAGTGGGATCCCTTTTCTGCTGATGCATTTAGTGATGGTTTAAAAATCTATATTCTTGATTATCTCTAAAATTACGCTGTAATCTGGCATTGACTGTTGGATATAAAAAGGCTGCTTTAAAAGGATGCATTTAATCCCCTTCCTTTTAGTGAATTCAGCTTTATTCACGAAATAGAAAGTATCAAACCACAGCTGTTACTAATGAACATTTATAAGGCACTTTTACAGTTATTGTTGCATATATATATATATATATATATATATATATATATATATATATATATATATATATATATATATATATAGTTACAAATGTATATATTTATATTTTTAGTGCGGAAAGTTGTATTGTATTTCTTGGTGTTGTATTTTATTTCTTTAGATGATGAATGTGTCCAATGTGTTGTTTGTATAACTGGAGTGTGTAACGAAGTTAATTAGTATTTTTGGTTCTGATTCTGTGCAGAAAGACTCAAGATCTGGGCTCAAACCTAGAACCTCCTGAACCTTAAAATCCCACATCTTCCATCCGCGCCCCCCACTGCCCCACCCCGCTGGGCTCCAGACCGCCGCCGCAAACCAAAGCCTACAGCCTCCGTGGTTCCTCTAGCTCTGCTCCGACTTCCCTGGAGCTCGAGAAGAGGATGCGCAACTTTATTATTATTAAATTCATAGGAGCAAAACATGCAGAAATGAACACTTCTATTAATATGACATTAGAAAAAAAATCGCCATGCGCATCCAGCATATGTTTAGTTTCTGCCCAAATATTTTCTTTTTGTTGTGTATTTTTGTAACAGGGATAACTGGAATCATAAATGGTTTGTATGAACTCTGTTCGTTCTCTACTTCCAAACTTAGCGTCTCTTCATCCATGCCTGCAATAAAAAGTTTCTTTTGAAGTTGTACGATGTATTCTTGGAAGTTTTGACTGGATTTGGTAAAAAATTTTAAGCCTCTCGGTATAAAACAAATATTTTGATTGAAATGAGCTGAGTACAAAACATAGAGAGGAAAACAAGAAGAAAAGGGACAAGAAGAGAGGGACACAACCTAGAACAGATAATGGATGTCTATTGCTGGTGAAGGTTATCAATCATCCAGGTCGTAGTAAAAAGAAAATTAAAAACAATCCACTGAACTTGGTTTCCAAGTTTGAAGACAATTCGCTTCCCATCCAGGAAGTTTCTCAATTCAAAGGTAGAATGTAAATCTATTCTATTAAAATATCTGTATCTGTATAAAGGGTCTGTTTTATGTGTTGTTTTCTCAATTCAGAGGGCCCCCTGCCTGTCTTTGCCTAGGGCCCCAAATTTCCTAAATCTGCCCATGCTGTACATATAGCAGTATTTGGCTTCAAACTAGGTGCCTTAATGCTCAAGAAGGCTTCAATTAAAAGCCCTTTTCCCAGTTAAATTCCCAGAGATTCCCCAATGTTCCCAGGTCCAGGAACCGCTCCAGGCTTCAAACTATATAATTTTGATTCCCCTTCATTATTTACTCAGGTTATCTTTGTCCGATGTTAAAATTTCCCAGATGGTTAAACATTTAACTACAGTAAAAAAGGGGAAAATACGTTGACAGCATTGGAACCTCCAACAGTATGAACTTGCCACAGAAACTAAATGCTGTGAGTGACGCCACATCCGAACTATATGACAGCCCTTCAATGGATTTCCCTGGAGATGTCAGGTTGTACCAACTGAACAGCAGCTCCTGTCAAAGCTCTCTGCAGGAGGGGACTTAGTGCTGATGGACGGGCCTGGCCTCCTCCAGGGAGGAGAATAGGAACACCTTTTGAATGGTAATCATCTCTGCCCTCAGTGATCTATGCCTCACTTTGGGGGAAACCTTATTCTGTCTTCGCTTTCATATGTTGTGAGGCATAAACTGTACTCTGGCAGTAAGGTGATTCATCTTTAGAGGACTGCCTTTTGTAACTGAATCTTTTTCTACTAGGGATGCAAGATATTGGGATTTTGGCCGATATCCGATATTTTAAAACTCATGTAGCCGATAACCGATATCGATACCGATGTTAAAGCTGGACAAAAATAAGTAGTCATTGAAAATAGCAGTTTTGTTATCCATTACTGACACTTTGAAAAATAATATACTCAAATATATTTTCATATGCTGATATCAAATAGATTTTTAAAAACGCGGTATCGATCTATTTTACTTTCAAAATCTCGTGAACTTTCATCGTTCTGTTACAAACTCTCGTGATATTTTGCAAATTCTTGTGAGATTTTGTTAGTAAAATAGATCGATACCGCGTCAATATATCAACATATAAAAATATGGCAAAATGTTGTGAACTTTCGGGGGATTTCGTAGCATAACGATGACATACAGCAATATTTCATTAGTAAAAGAGATTGTTATGGTGTTGTTAAATAGCAATATATCAGCATATGAAGATATTGGGATATTTTAATGTATCAATATTTTTTCCCTCGTCTTTAGAAGTTTTTAAGTCTGTAAAAAAAGAAGTTTTTGAGGAAGAAGAATTTAGAAACTCAGAAGCTGATCAAATATCGGGTTAAATATCGGTGGGGTGGCCGATGTCCGATATTCAGTTTTAAGGCCGATACCGATAGGGGCCGATTATATCGTGCATCCCTATTTTCTACGCCCGCTTCTGTCCCCTTAAACTCCAGTCGGCCTCAGCAGATGGAAGATTTTCCTCTCTACTGTCCCTACAAGCAGTGTTGTGCCTGAACGCGTTCATTGAACGAAAGTTCATGAACTCGTTCATATTTTGGGCGAACGTGAACTGAACGTACTGCATTCTTGCCTGATGAACGTTATTGTGAACTTGTTCATTCTGGTGTCTGTGAACGGCACGCTCTCTCAGTTCAACTCCGTTCAATAGGTTGCCAGATTTCTATAGAGTCCTCCAGGCGAAACCCCGGCTAAATCACACCGTAAACAGGCCTTAATATGTAGCGGGAAAAACACCCAATCTGGCAACACCAGCTACCAGCGTCGTAGCCTACAGCCGCGTGCGTCATCAAAACAAAATGCAGCGTGAAAGCCACAGCAGCATGGAGGCGACTTAAAACAGGTTTATGACCAGGTGGTCGGTGAGGATGATGGCAACAAGTTTGCCCGCCGGCTTTCAGTAAAAAAAATCCGCACTTCAGTAACCTTAAATTCCTACCTCAGCCTGGTCCCTCAGTTTGTGTTAGTAAAATCTTCTTGAGCGGAGGTCTTCAACAGGGGATCCGCGACCCCTAGGGGGTCTACGGAGGTACTGCATGAGGGTCTGCATGGTTAGTTGATATTTTTATATTCCCCCCCTGCATTTGTTTTCCCCACTAATTGAAATGTCTTTAAATACTCATTAACATGAAATCAACACACTGTAGTAAACAGATAAATGGAGACAAAAGATGTCTTTCAGTCATCAATGCACACATTCAGAGACACACAGGAGCTCTTTCAAGCTGGGCACCGTTTCCTTCACAACACCTGTCCCATCAACCAGGAATCAGAATCAGAAAAACTTTAATAATCCCAGGGAGAAATTAATTTCTTTACATTACTCCATCTGTAATAGAGTGACTATAGGACACAATTTCATACAATATATATAAATAGGGGGTCCCCGCTCCATCTCGCCATCAGTTTGGGGGTCCTTGGTCTGGAAAACATAGAAGACCCCTGTTCTTGAGGGTTTTACTATCCATGTAACTCGTTTGTTAAACCTGCCTGGTATAATTTTCCAGGATTCCAGGATTCCTTTTTAGTATGTACTGAAATGGAATTTCAAATGGAAAAAATTATTAAAATAAAAAAAAAACATTTGCACCTTAAAGACTACTTTCCTATTTTTCTTTTAATAATTCCTCATAAAAAAGACCATTCAAGCAGCACATTTTTCCTGATGTTTTTGAGAATATACTGTAGGGGTGAAAGCTGTAGCTGCTACTAGTGTGAAGTGAATGGACAGCAACAAAGCATTAAAGCAACAATGGGGAAATGCTGTCCCCTCAATGCTAATGTAAACCCTGGTTGGATAAGGATTCAAAACTGGATATGAAGATGAAATCTGACGCACAGTTTCAGAGTTACAACTGATAAAATAATTGCTGTCTGTGGTTCTACAGTAGGCTATGGTGTAATTGAGCAATATATGAAAAAAAAAAGAAAAAAAAGAACTATGAACTAGTTCGTTTTTTGGAATTGTGAACTATGAACTGAACTAGTTCATTTTAAAATGTGTGAACTGAACTTTGAACTAGTTCACGTAGAAAGAGAACTTTCCCAACACTGCCTACAAGCATGCTTAGTGTGAGGGATTGCCTTCGACTCAATGAGTCGATGCAATCAGCTCGCTTTCCTAAGATAGAAAACTTGGAATCAATTTGACGTTATAATCTGATGAACTGGAAAGAACTTTGAGATGACATGTTGTGAATAAACTGAAATGAATTGACTGAACAGAAGAACACAGTGTTTATAAAGCTCTGCAACGAGGGGACTAATCTAAAGAGGTTTTCCTCTCTCTTTTTCTCTAGTCCAACATTAAAAGACGGGAACTTATCATTCATATAATAAATCTGTAAACGGTAGGTCTCTCTTCTTGATGGGACTTTATGTTCTAGATGTTTTGCAGTGTAGAGTCAGTAACCAAGCAAACACAGTCCAAAACAAATGTGTTACAAACAGTTCTAAGTAGAGCTCCCTGAAGGCCGACGCTGAGCTCTGCCTCTAAATGTAATTAGACCTTGTTTTCTCCTGGCTCATCTCTGCCTATGTAAGACCCACCCTCTGTTCTTTAATGCCGCTTAGGCATGAAGTCATACAAAGCAGTCAGCAGAAACAGACAGAGATTAAGAGTTAGTGGACGCAGAGAAAAAGAGGCTAAGATCCGACACAGGAGTCGATTTAATCCGGCCTGCAGTTACTATCGACCCTCTT